GTGACGGGTCATTAGTTCAACAAGAATATTTTTTGTGTACTATTTTGTTGCATGTCAGTTTTGTGTAGGCGTTCATTATAGTACAAATCAATTGTCTCCCATTGTTTCCTCTTTGCTTTATGTGAGTCCTATTGTTATGATGAAAGCTATTCTACTTTGCGGGGGTGTTATTGTTCCGATTAGATTTATGTCCGTTATACTGCCTTTGTGTGACTTTGACGCCTTTTCGCACAATGAATGTCGTGACTGATACATATTGGTGTTTGTTCCTTGTTTTTTCCAGTGTGCTGTATTACTCTGACCTGGATGAACTGTCGCCCATGGAAGGTCGCGAGACGCCCTTCAAGATTCAGATGCAAATTGCTGAGGTAAGCACACGTACGCACGCATGTATTTACACACACAGCCATACACCTACACACGCCCGCATGTACACGCACACACACAAACACACCTAAACACACACATATACACACTTGCTCACACATACACACACGCATGCACATACACACACATGCACGCTCTCACCTAAACACACACATATATACCCACTTGCTCACACACCTAAACACACACCCACATATATACACACATGCACGCGCGTACATACACACCCACACACCTAAACACTCACACATGCACACGCGCGCACATACACACACACATACAATGCTGAGGCAACCATCTATTTGGACCAATAAGGTTGCTTTTAGAGACAGAATTGGGGGTGGGGTGCATCGCACACCCCGAGTTAATCACGCGCCTAAAAACAAACAACAACAACAACAACAACAACAACAAAGAAACTACCTTTAACATTAGAAATGAAGGGTTGCTTTGAAGCACAAAGGCCCCCCCGCCTCCCTCATTCGCACTTGATATAACACCAATGTCTGCAGTGAAGTGGTTGCCGCGTTGATGTCTCAGTCTCTATCTGTCTCTCTCTCTCCCTCTCTGTCTCTCTCTCTCCCTCTCTGTCCCTCTCTGTCTCGAGTACTCTGACCCACAATTGGAGTAAGGAAGAAAATAGGAGTGTGTTGCTATTTTATCCTATTCTGATTTGGCAGTGGCGTGTTTTCTCTCCTTTGTCTTTTTTTACTGCCCACCAATGATTGGTGCTGTTTTGTCGTCACTGGGGTCAGTTAGAAAGTGCAGGGAGAAGTCAACTCCCAGTTGCCCTTCAGTGTAGCCCACCTCCTAAATGATGTAAATTGTGGGAATGGGGGGAGGGGGTGGAAAACCACCAGGGTAAGATAAGATAAGATAATACATTATTGTCCCAGAGGGAAATTTTTCTGGGCTGTACAGTATGACTGTAAAAACACATGCAGGTATACATAGAAATTAAATTATATACTGTATTGCTCTCATTAAAATTAAAGGAAAAGCAAATTTGACAATAATGTACATATCACATGAGATGCGTGGCTCAACCACATGCAGGAGTTTATCACGAGACCTGAGGAGTGGCCTACATTGAAACAGACGTGCCACTCATCCCGATCTCATCGGGATATCCCCGATTTCATCGGGATATCCCGATCTTTTTTTCCCCAAATCTCAAGCATCCCGATTTCAATTGTGTGTATCCCGATTTTTTTGTTCCTTCTGTTGCGCCAGATTTGTCTAAAAACGAACTTCATATTTTTATGGACACACATTGGTAAATTTTTAATTTTAAGTCAGCTTGGCAGTCACCCCGATGATTTGTTGTTGGTCCCGATTTTTTTCCCCCCAGATCCTGATTTTTTTCCCCCTTGAGATCCTGATTTTTAGATTTCATAGAATGGCAAGTCTGATTGAAACGTTTCCCGTCTACTGTCCCCAGCAAAAACTTCGCCTAGAGCAAGGGACCACAGAGAGGACAGTGGTCATGCAGATAGCTGAGAGTGCCTACAGGTTCTCACTGGGAGCTCTTGCTGGAGGTGAGGGGGGTGAGGGTGTTGGAGGGGAGGGGGGAGGGGGTCATGCAGATAGCTGAGAGTGCCTACAGGTTCACATTGGGAGCTCTTGCTGGAGGTGAGGGGGGATGAGGGTGTTGGAGGGGAGGGGGGAGGGGGT